ATTGACGGCCCCGCGGAAGATGTACCTCAGCCGGAGAATTTGGGGCCTTTATCTGAGCAAAGGTCCCCTGCCCTGGAAAATCAGTGTTGGGAAAGACGCCAGGGACCCTAATAACTCTTCTGACCCCACCCCATGGATGAGAAAAACGATGTCTAAATTAAAGATTCACCACATCTACAGTCGGGGACAAAGGCAGGTCTCTCAAAGGCTTGACTCCCCTTGTCGACTCTGCCCCTCTTACCTCCTCAGATCCGGTTTTGAAGCTTACATTTAACAGACCTTCAGAAGTTATGATCCAGCCATCAATGTGAAATCAGATCTGGTTGAGTATAGTCAGTAAGCAAACTCCTTTACATTCTCTGTCCCCTGTGTGTTTGCGGCGCATTTCCTTCCTGATTGTGAGGTTCTGGGTTCAGGTCTTAAATTCTTAAGGGTTACTTAACAGCTCTAAGCCCCTATTCCGCATAAGGCATAAGGTTGTTGTTAGTGTTAGGAGAGATGATACATTACAGTTTAGGAAAATTCCTGGAGCCAGTGATAGTAATTAGCAAGGTATTAAGACCTTTCCGTGGCCGGCCCTTGAGGAAGATGTCTTTGTCTCTCATATGATCCTCTTGGCAGCCCTACTAAGTAGCTTCTTTTCACTCCCGTTTTACAGATAAAAAACAGGAGGCCAAGAGAAGTTAACCATCCCTCAAAGTCACATAACTTGTAAATGATATAGCCAGAATTTAACTCAGGCCCTTCTTTGTCCAGAGTGAATGGTTATCACCAAGATTGTTGCTATCATTAAGAACAGATGAGATGGTGGTATGCCTGCACTTTTTTGAGGGGGAAAGAGAATTGCCTTCCCATCTTGCCTCCTCCTATGGGTTGCATCTCTGCTGTCTATCCCCTCTATCATGAAGAGGTGACAGGAAATTTTACAGGTTCTTGATTCAAGAACAGGTGAGGCAGCCCAGGAGTCAAACAACGAAATAGAATTTGGGGGTCAACTCCAGGTCAAACCTGGATTTGAGGCTTGGCTCTGGCAGCTCAGGGATCCTGGTCAAGTCACACCTCCTTTAAGCCTTTATTTCCTCATCTGTAACACGAAGATGATTTTTGTACAGTGCCTGCCTCTTATGGTTGTTTCCAGGATCAAGTGAGGAGAATTAGTATCCATGTTTGTATCTGTTCTTATGATTAGGAACTTACACATTAGCAGATGATTCTGAATATAATAGGAGTTGGTCATGACTGGACTCTTGACATATGTGAACTATTCCATAGTGAGATCATCTGTAGCTTTTGATTATGTATCATATGCTCGTTGAACATTTACTAAAATCTTGTCCCTACCTTCCAGAAGCTCTCAGCCCACCTTCTATAGAGACATCAAGACAATACAGTGTGATAGATGTTAACTGAGAAATATAAACAAAGCACTTTAAAAATCCAAAGGAAA